TATATATATATATATATATATATATATATATATATATATATATATATATGTGTGTGTGTGTGTGTGTGTGTGTGTGTGTGTGTGTGTGTGTGTGTGTGTGTGTGTGTGCGTGTGTGCGTGCGTCCCGCGCACACACACACATACTTATATATACAGTACATATTTAAAAATGTATTCAGGTGCATGTACTGTATACAAGCCGTCGGTCATACGTGGCGATGAATTTGACGCTGTCACATATGCACCCATGTATGTTATCCGTTTTTATGGTAAATTATAATGTTCAAGTTTGCTTTCATATTTAAGCGATTTTAGAAGATATTTTACGTGCCAAATCCTCTTTTCATTGTTAATAACTATAATTATTGCTACAGTTATTGTTGTAATTATTATCATTATTATTATTATTGCCATTATTATTATTATATACTTTTTCATTATCTTTATCCTTGATATTATCATTATTTTTATCATTATCATTATTATTATCATTATTACCACTATTGTTATTATTACTATTACTATCAGTATTATTATTTTGTTATCATTGTTATCAATACCATTCTTAATATTATTGTTGTTATTATAATAATCATTATTATTATCACCCTCATTATAACTATTAATACACTGGTCAACAGCAAAAAAAATCGTCGATAATGTTTTAACTGATATTAGACAATTTTGATGCGCTGAATCCAAAAATAACATTGATTTTGCTCAATCAGGTCAAATTTGTGTTCTATTGCCAAATATTGTTTTTACGGTTGTTGTTGCATTACGGGTATTACGATATAATTTTCTATTTTTGGTTGGGACAGCAGTCCGGTTTCACAGTACTCGTGTTTTCTGTGCATGTAGGATAGTAGGGACCGAGCTCAGCATTACTCGAAAAAGGAGAGGTCTCTGCGGGAGGAATTGGAGCCTAGCAGATCAAAGAACGTCATCAACACACCTCTGGTGGACAGACAGGAGACTCTTCCCATCGCTGCACATCAAGCTTGGCCTGATGAAGCAGTTCACCAAAGCTCTGGACAAGGATGGTGGCTGCTTCACTCACCTGTGCCATGCTTTTCCAGGAGTGACCTTGGAGAAAGTGAAAGCTGGCATCTTTGACGGACCTCAACTACGTCAGCTCATCAGAGATCCAGAGTTTGAAACCTCAATGAATGAAGTCGAACTGGAAGCGTGGGAGGCATTTGTTCTGGTCGTAAAGAACTTCCTTGGCAACAAGGCCAGCAACTACGCAAAACTCGTCACCAAAATGCTGACTGCCTTCAAAAACTTGGGATGCATCATGAGCATCAAAATGCACTACCTATTCTCACATATGGATCGGTTTCGTGAGAATCTGGAGCGACGAGCGACGAGCAGGGGGAGAGATTTCATCAAGACATGAAGGAGATGGAGACCAGGTACCAGGGACGGTGGGATGCAGTCATGATGGCCGATTACTGCTGGACTTTGAAGAGAGACATCCCTGCCGCTGCACATTCGAGGAGGTCAAAGAAACGGAGGTTTCAGCCCTCAATGATCAATGATGACCAAACATCTAGTTTTCATGCATCTATCTTTATCAGTGTCCTGTCTACTGATCAACTGATCAATTCTGATCGATGTTCAGCAGTGATCGGTAGATATTGTAATAGTTACCAATGTAGTGCAATGTTGATGTCAATACAGATACTGATCAATGTTTGCAACATGTCGATGATTATAAATTGGGTGAGAAAACAGTCTTTTCCTTTAAAAAAAAAATATCGGATGCAAAAGTAACACAAATAAAACAAAAATGCTGCTCTAATGTATTTTCCTAAATTCACTTAGTTGAAAAATTTGACCTGATCGGGGAAACGGATGGCATTTTCGGATTCAGCGGTGCAGACGACTTACAAAAAATATTTTTTTGCAACCCAGTGTTATCCTTATTGTTATTATATTTTGTTATCATTACTATTCTTAATCATTAATATTATTATTACTATCATTACCGTTATTGTAATTCTTATCATTATTACTAGTATTATTAATAATACTATCACTATCATTATCAATTTTCGTTGTTATTAGTATAACCATTGTTATCCTTATTATTATTATTATTAGTGTTATCATTATCATTATTAACATTACTATCATTGTTACTATTATTATTATTATTATTAGTGTTATCATTATCATTATTAACATTACTATCATTGTTACTATTATTATTATTATTGTAATCATTATTATTACCACTATTATCATTTCCATTATTTTCATTGTTATTTTCATCATCATTGTTGCCATCGTTATCATTATCTTTATTATCATTATCACGGCTATTATTTCTTATTATCATTATTATTACCATGGTAATCATCATCTTTACTATCATTATTATTATTATTGTTACTACTATTGCTGTTATTATCATTATCATATAAATTATCACTATCGGCAGTAGTACAAGTAGTAGCAGTAATATTGTTTCAATATCATTTTCATCATTACCCTCAATATTATTAATATCACAATTACTATTACCATTATCGTGTTATTATTATTATTACACTTCCAAAAGTGAACGGGCTGAAATTACGGAATGTAAGCTTTAGACAGCTCATTAAATACAATTAGAACCTGAATAATTTCACTCAAATTATGTATACAATCTCGTTCGTGAATTTTATCGAGAGACAAAACCCGGATGAATGGAAAGAAAAACATAATTTATATTAATTTATTCGCATCTCATAAAATGGCATGTGGAAACTTACTTCTTACGGGTAAATGGATGCTAACCCGTAACCAGACTGTAAACAACCTCATTACTGACACTTCTCTGTCAATTTTGAACCACGTTAATCTTGTAGGCTTCCTCGATTTAACTCTGTCATACTGTTTTTTCCGCCATGCTAGTATTTGTGTTAAAATTCCTGAAACTCCGACATGCAGATCAGCGCAGAGGTCCAAAGGACATTGAGCGGTGATAAAGACTTCAGATTCTCGATAACCACATTAGTAAGAATTGTTGAAACCTCAATTAAGCAAGAACAATGGCTCGGGAAAACTATCAGTTAAGCACTTAGAAAAAGAAACTCCTGATGTAAAGATCGCTTTGTGCCCACGATATAATGACAAGGGAGGTGGACCAACCTGGATATACCAGAACAAAACAAAAGAGAAAAGTTTGATATAACTCACAGGGACGACAGAAGCTAGAGTGTTGTTTGGCTTTCTCAGGGTTAATTGCACATGTCTAACATACGTTAGGGGTGGTTCACAATTTTCAACATTTTCACAAGCGCACAAAACAATATTATTATGCCAAGGCCGAGACAAACCTATGTTGATTATAGTTTTCGTGTAAAAAATATCTGTATGGCCCACGTGCTTCAGTACTCGGCAGGAACGAGACTAGTGGCTCGTGGATTATGCAGGACGTATCAAAAACTAATTATTTTCTCCATTTTGAAAAACGTACATTTGCCCCCACCCCCCCTAGGGTACGGCTTGTACGCTTGTGAAAATGTTGAAAACTGTGAACCACCCCTTACACATTCAATAACTGAACACACTTTGACTAGCTGCCCAGGACGCAGCACGGACTTTCCTTTACCCAAATTATCAGTTAAAAAAAAAATAACAAGGCCCTCATCTTTGTAAAAGGAGACAGGTGTGTTATGACTCCATCTAGACTAAAAGAATAATCGGGAAAACTTAAATCGGAACCCCAGGCCCTAAACCAATAAATTCAACAACTCTGAATATCAACGACGTAAGCATCTGTTCACACAACCCTCTGTTCTTCCAATTCCTTTGGACTACTGAAATAGATTTGGAGTCTCCAGACTGTTTTTTTATTTTCATATTCCGTATTTTATGGCCAAACAGTACAGCAGTTGTTAACATCTTTACTACCACGCCCTCTCTCGGAATTTTTTTTCCCCTCTAAACCCCATCCACATTTTGAATACAAAATACAGTCGGGATTATAAACTTATATGCTTGGTCATAAAGCACCAATAACCTCATGGGTTTCTTACTATCCTTAGGTAAATATAACTAATGTGCTAAAAAAAAA